AAAATCTATTGAAAGATGGATTTTACTCAAAGCTCTTTCCAGCTAATCAACTTAATACTAATATGTACAAACACGCAATTCAATTATTTAAGGAATTACTACAAGCTATTTTTTTATTATGATCTAGATTATCTAGATCATGAAAAATATGTTTGTCTACCAAATCGCTCGCAGTGTAAGACTATAACTAGTTTGTAAACTTGGGGGAAAGAGCTGCGAGCTTACTTCTACTGAATAAATGGTAGTGTGGGCAAACAGAAGAAGCAAGCCTTTTTTATCCACTCTGCAAACACAACACTTAGCAGCTAGACACTTCCTAAAACTAGCCAGCGCTGACAGGGCTGAGGGGTCCTCTTAAGAGGCTTAGTCTCTATGGAAGAGAGTGTTAATGAATGAAATACTATTTAGTGGATGATACAAAATAAAGCCTCTTGTCTGGCACTCTTCAAAGACCAACATCCTCTGACCCACTACTCCAAACTTGAGCTGGGAGATTTTTTTTCTGCATTAGCGAGCCTTAAGAGACGGCAACCAGACAAAACAGACACTTGAGTTGTCTGTATGTTCAGCAGAGGGAGGAAGGGTGGGAGAGGAGGATGAGAGGGAGAGAGGAAGGGGGGTGGTGGTGGTGGGGGGGTGAATGTGGTCTGCTGCACTGTAGGTCACTCTGTGTCTGAGACTGGACGGCTTAGAGAATATACAACCCTGTGCTGCAGATTCAAATTGTTTGGGCTAAATATATCCTCATAGTTGGGATGGCTGGATTTTTTTTTGACTATGATTTAGTGTCATATTGTCCTCACTGCCATAGTTTTTGAACTTTTTTGTAATTTCAAAGTGTGAAAGAGAAGTGGTTGAGGGTTCTTTTTCCAATGACACATTTAATTCTCCAGCACACATTTTACAATACTAACTGGCATGTCGAATTCAAAAGACGGTTGCAGTATAACATCTTTCTCTGAGTGACCTTCCCTGATAGCTCTAGATGATAAATCTTGACTGACAGACTCAAGGTTTCTCAATCTGATTCCAATTTAGGCCATTCAAAACAACCAATAACCTGCCTTTAGACTTGACTAACTCACTGCCATCAAACCCCACATCTTTGGTCCAGATGTTTTATTACTTGCCAAGTAAGTGCTCTAAACTCACAAGAAACCAAACATCTCAAATTAGCAAACTCAACATGCCGAGCATCAAATGGTTTTAACCAATTTATTCCACTAGCCCCATTCCCTGTCTTCCTCCCTCCTACCCCCCTCTATTCCCCACACTCTAATAACTGTCCTCCTCTGTCTCGTAAAACCCTAGTGCCTTTAGAGAACTCTATAACAAGGCTTCACAAGCGCTTTAAGATGATGGTGTTGTCTTTATGTGCAGAGATGGAGCACACTTGGCCACAGCTGAAGCAGAAGTAGACAACTCATACACTCGGATAAAAGTGGGAGATCTTGTACTGAAACATATGGAAGCAGCTGCTAAGGTTATAACATGGTTGTTTCTGCACAGGGGCCAGAGAGTAACGCAAAGGCCGGCCTCTAATTGAGCGAGGTCGCAGACATTCCGTGTAAAGCTGTGTATCAGTGGCCAGCCAGCCGGACCCTGAGAGCTGCCCAGCATGCTTAATCAAACAGTAATTACAAACAAAAGCAGGTCGGCATGGGCACTCTAGGGAACAGCTTTGGGCACTGGAGCTCCATCACGCAGGTCTTTGTACTTGGCATAATTTCTGAAATTCAGACAATGCCCTCAAAGCTTTGCTTTAAGCTTGTTTTTCATGTTTTTGAGATTTTAAACAAAATGACAGCAATGGAAACACGCAAAATATGTATCAAACTATTGTTTCCACCGTTTATTCTGATGATTTTTGGTCTCTATTTAGTAATCGCTCGGTCCATAAAATGTCAGGAAATAGTTTTAACCTTAGATGACTTCTTAGTTATTTCCCCCTGAATTGTGTGCCAAATATATTGCATTTGCAATCACACAAGAAAAACAAAAGCAGAATATTTTCCTCCTTCAAAGCAGGAACTGGGGAAGGTTCTTTGATTGAGAAATGTCTTTAAACCTGATAATTCTGAATTTCTGGCAACTCTGGGACAGTGGGAACGAAATATGAATACAACACTAACAAATGAAAACGTGATGTTCACACAAACACATCCATCACAAACAGAGTGTCATTAATGTTCATTTTGGTTTGTTTATCTGTTCACTCTGCAAAACTAAACTCAATATCTCATGTCTCCACTATCATCTGAGAGAAATATCAAGGTCTTTTGGGCTAGACAATTCTTCTTCTTTTTAAAGATAAGTGTTGCGCTTTTACATGCCTTTACTGAGAGGACATGATAGAGGATAGTCAGAAACTGGGACGAGACAGAGGAGGGATGCCGTGCAATGAATGGCTGCTTCTGCTGCTGGAAATGACACAGGTGAGAGCTGTGAGAGTAAACAGAACAGTAAAGTAACAAGTCAGTAAAAAAAGAATAAAAAAAGGCATAAAGAGGCTTTAATGCTGCACACAGACGATGATCTGATACCCTTTAATGGTTTCATAAATTATTAAAAGTTGTAGAATATTTTCCCTCCGCAGCCTCCAGTAAAACTTTTCACAAATGCCCTTAAACAAATCTCTTCACTGGATTAGTTATGTTGAACCTGCAGGAGATTCTTGCCCTTCACAGCCTAAATTTACCTGTAATGGAGATGGCTGAACAAACTGCAGAGACGCCAGTTCCTGTAAGCTTTGCGTTTTTTGGACAGACGAGAACCAAGGACAAGATAATGAGTGTCACACAAATGTTCAGACAGACTTTTTGGAGCGTATTCAGAATATCACTTGCTCAGGCCAAAATGCAACATCATCTAAATGAGGTTATTCAGCAAAGTTCACTACAGAACAAGCGGCACACCACTTTCTCCTCGGGCTGCTCGAGGGAGACAGCGTGCAAACCCGGCATAACCCCTCAGTGGATCGAGACCATTGTTTGATTGGTCTAACCAGAAAGCAATTCACACTTATTGACAGGCTGATGAATGAGTAGCGTGCTGACATACGCTGAATGCCCAAAAGGGAGAATGCTCTCATTGCCCTCTTCCATGTGAGACGGAGACCACTGTACTGTAAACAGCTGAGGGCCTCTCTTTTTGGCCTGTCTGGGTGCGCATTAAAGTACTTCCCGCCGTCGCCAGCAACAGCATGCCACAAAGGAACCTCTGTGGCCGACAACACTGAAGTGGCCACTGTCTTTTTCGTGGGTCTCAGGGTGTCTCACAAACTTTTTTCCATGCAAGCTTCTTTTCTTTCACCCCCTCCCCATTTTTTAGAGGCCCTTTTTTTTTCCTCTCCTCTGCTGTTCCTCTCAGTGGCCCCTACTGAGAGGACAGAGACAGACACTCCGCCCAGCCAAAGGTTTGTCTGCCAGTATGGTCAGCTTTGGTCTGGAACAAAAGCGCACTGACGCTGCCCACACACAGCAAACCCCTTCCCCCCCCGCCCCCCCAGACAAGTCCACAACAGACTCCCACATTCTCCCCAAACTCCCTCTTTCTCTGTTATCTCCTATCTCCTCCGTCTTTTAATGACAAAGCATTCACTTCAAAGATTCTGCTTTCTTTTTGTACATCACTAACCTTGGCCATATCAAATGCGTATAGCTGTTTAGGCTGTACTTTGGCACCTAGTGAAAAGAAAAGGAAACACCCTGTCTGAAGAAATATAAAGCTTATTACAGCTGTGCTGCTTAATTCAGAGAAAATGTGAACAGTTATTTCATCATCACCCTGTGACCAGGGAACTACATTTTCTGGTACATGTTTTAACTGAAACCTCCTCTTTCAGAGCTTTCAGCTAAGATGCCAAAACCAGTGGACCAGCACCATTTCTTATGAGCTATAATACTTGATGCAAAAATGTATTCAAAGTTGATGTCAAGTTTCTAAAGATACTAGCCCCCAAAAGCTCTGCTGTTGCAGGCATAAAAGGTTAATTTAAGCGTGAATGTTCAATTATTTCAAAAGGATATATCTCATTTTAGTAAAAGCAATGTAACTACCATGTATACCAATTGTCTGTGGTTGATTCATAACTCCCTCCTTTGTGTTTATAAAATAACTGATTAACTGAATGATCTATCACTAAGAACCTGGGTTTATGCAGTGACATTAACTGAAGCTCAGACACAGGCAGCACATGCACATTATGGCAATGTGATAATAATCGATATTATTGGTGGATATGAGTGACTTTGATATTTGTGTGGCTGTAGGATCAAGACACATAACTGAAATCACATACTAACTTTAAAAAAAAACCTCTATCCTTTGCTTATCTTCACTGTCTCGAGTACAAAGTCTGTTGTTATAACTTATTCAAGTGTGAGTTGAACAAAAATTGTAACATTCACTCATTTATTAATGTTATTGCTCCAAGGTATTGAAATTCAAAACACACAATCAGAAGGTTTAATGAGATACAGATCTTAAGATTTAGTTGAAGACGTTTTGAAGACGTTGTTTTCATGGCGTGAGTTTGATTTAATATCTCGTACATCCTCATTGATATAGGTGTGTTGTGCGAGACAAGGTAAACCATCAAAAAGACTTTACATTGTTGACTTGGCTCGATTAGAATGATGTTTTTAAATCAGAGTAAAGCAAATCTGCCCTTTATTGAATCACCAATTGTCAATTCATAATATTGAATTACTTTTTCACCTACAGTCTATCGAGTAATCTACTCACTAATTGCAGTCACCTTTTTAATGAGTTGTTATCAAATGTTGGAAGGGTCCCGCGGTGAGGATTATTGGGAGCTGTGAGCACAGACAGAACTACCAATGATAACATTTGCCCTTTCCATCAGTCTTACAAAAGCCTACTGTCTAATGCAAGCAGATTTTGGCAGCACACGTTTTTTAACCGATTTTCCAGGAAGGTAATTGGTAGACCAGACAAACGACAATCAGTGTGTCACGTTGACATGGAGGGATACTTACCAATTTCTCATCAACTGTGATAAGTTGCGTGTCTTGTCCTGATTTCTCTGCCAGCCTTGGTGTGCTTGTGCTTGTAGACCTGAAAACCATTAGGTAGACATTACACGCAAAGCACAAAGTGAGAGGGAGAGAAATTACCCCAACAAGAGAAATTCAGCAAAAAAAGTGAACATCTTGGAGGAAGCATTGAGACAAGGACATCGAGAAAGTGAAGAGACAAGGAGGGAATCCCCCCCCCCCCCTCCCTCCCCTCCACACCATCTATTAGTTCTGTCTGGTGAATCTCTGGCAGACTCTCGTTCTCATCCTAATGACAGGACGTGCTTAATGTTGGCTGCGGTCAACTGTCAGGCGAGGACTGTGTAGCTCTTTGTGAATGTGCAGCCATGTCCTGTCACAAAACAGCAATGTGCCATCCCAGCTCAGCCAGGAAAGGGCCATCTGAGATCGTTTGATTCTAAGTAATTACCAGACTATAACAATTTTACATATATTGCAAAATGTACGACTTTAACACAAAGACATTTTTCTAAATTGTCTTAAACAATTTTTTGAAGATAAATATAACAAATCAGTATCAGCTCTGTGACCAACACAACTATAGTTTCTGGTTTAAAATCTCAACATAGATGACATTTTAAAGAACACATTCTATTGCCTGAGTCATCACTTGGACTAAGCCCTTTAGACTTCACTCATGATGTACTAAAAACCTTCTCATCTGAACAAGGTTAGATGAAACAAATGGTTTAAAAAGTAATAGATTGCTCTAATTATAAATTTAAGTCTTTACCAAGGCATAATGATAGATGTATATGTTGGCATCAGCTTCTTTCTATGTTATTGTGGTTAAGTGCTTAAAGCTTTGGCCTTTTAGAAAAAAGTACCTGCTTTAGTTAAATCACAGCTATATTTGAAAAGGCAAGTCTTCACTCAAAGATAAAAGCAGAAATGATTGATCATTATTGAAATCAAGCCTGAGCCTCAATTCATTCTCATTACACCTCGAATGAGGAACATCAGCTTTAGTTTCTTTGGCTCTTTGTTCCATGATTGATCGGCCTTTTCCTTACTCCACTGAAGAGATTTTGTTCAAAAAGCCAACTTTTCTCTTAAGCTGTCTCTGCAATTAAAGACATTCATTTTTTTTCATCAATATCTTTATTAAATCATTTTAAGGCCACTGAATCAATTTAATGACTGTTTACTTAAGCGACACCATTGTTTAACCCTGTTTTTGTTAAGCAATGCTGTCAAAGCTGCCATCAACTATTGTATGACCTCATCTTGCACATGATGATGTCCTTTTATGGAAGCTGTTAAAGCCATGGTGATTAAAACAACATACTGAAGTTATCAAAAAGTGTTGCAGCACTTATTTCTCTGAAATGTGGACAGGAGCAGACGGCAGTTGATTTATGTGATCATCTGTCCTATCAGGAACCTCCTTACCAGACTGACATAGAGCCAATTTAGGATTAAAATTACTTTTTATAATCCAATAAAAGCAAATACTGAACATTGGTTTGGCAGGACTTATATTTTTACTGCTGGTGTATTAAGTTGGAGTGCGTTACTGCTCACTATGACAACAAAAAAAAATTGCAGCACATTGGCCTGCCATAAATTCTGGTGATATTAAAGAATGATCAGGTACGATCAGGTCCTTTTTTCTTCATTTAAATTTGTTGAGCTTTCTTCAACTCTTTTCAGAGCTGATCCTTTTCAACTAAATGTACCTGATCCTTCGTGAATAGAATGAGGCGACTGCTGCGAGGGTCAAAAAATAGAAATCAGGTGCTCTTCAGGGATAAGGGACAGTGTGATTTTGTTTTTTCTACTGTGATGCTATCGGCCACATTTAATTTAAATGTAATTCTGCGTCTCTATTATAATACAGTCTTTGAAGTGTGATATTTATCTACAGTACATTCAGTTTTTGGTTTACCATCATTATATTACTACATCGTAACAAGGCGCAATTTCCAGCTCACCTCTTTCTAGTTTGACATGGCTGCTTTATATTTATTTGTTCCGACATAATCTTTATTTTAATGTTGTCAGGCTATATTGCCTGGTGGCCTTGAGCTAAAAATGATCCACTTTGCAATATAGAGATGTATTTGATTGCGCTCATGTGCTTCCTTATGATATATCCTGTGTATAATGTCTATAATACACTACATGCAGGTAGGTTTGACCTTTTTCTTCTCTGGTTGCTCTTTGTGATTTTGTTGTTAGCCCTCATGGTTGTGTGACTTTGGTCATGTTTCACGTGACTTCTGTCCCACAACACCCTAATTGTAATTAAACACTTGTTTTTATTGTCTATTATGACGTGATTAAGACTCAGCTGAGTCAAAACGTGTTTCACCATTTTTAAATGTTTTGTCCCTTTGCTGAATTGCCTCATTTTATTTATGATAGACCAGGTATATTTTATTGAAAAGGGACAGCACATTTCATAGAACATGGGGCACTTTTTTTCAAATACGTTAAAGGTCTGAATTTACTGGATGACTCATAATAGTGGTATGTGTACATCCCTCTTTTATGTGTATGTCTCTGCTTGTCTATGTTTGTGTGTGCACGTTACAAATTTGCACACTTGATCGGTTTTCCTTCTTTCGTCTTTTATAGCCCTTCTGTATAATGCGCGATAGTTACCTCAATACATACTGTGTTTACTTATTTTTGTAATTCGTTGAATGGCCACGCTTAGTTTTTGTGTTGTGTTCTAGTTGTCTTTTCTTTTGTTTCACTTAAAATCACTCTTATTTTACTGAAGAACCCGTCGAACATACATATCTGTACGTCTCAACACTCAATAAAAACAGTTGTGAAAAAAAAAAGAGAAGAAAAGAAAAGGGAGAGCACTGGGAGGAGTTAAAGAAAGTTCAGAGCTCAACACATTTGAACAGGGACAAAATGCATAAAGTTACTATATGACTAGTTAGACAGCCAAAAGATCAAACATTTAAAATGCCTCTTGCACTATTATTATTGTGCAGCTTTAAAAAGATAAAACTAAAATCAGTCAAGTGCATAATTGTCGGAAATTCACCAATACAAGAGAAAAGAAATCTGTTTGATGAGTGAGGTTAACCTTACATCAAGAGAAAATAACCCAAAATAACCCAGATGTGTTTCTTGTTTCTACCATTAATACATAATATAATAAGAGTCTTTTTCAGCAGCTAAAGTTAACTGAAGGGTTAGCTGTTATCTAATAAATTCCCCCTCCAGATGAATGTTAGGAACAGCATGCAGCACATGGTTTGTGCAGAGGAGTGAGCAACATTGTGTTTCTGTTATTCTGATATCTACAACTTGAGCTTAGCCGGCTACACGAGTGCTCAAAGGACACGGGAAAACATGAACAACAGCTGATATCAAACACATTTAAATGTCTAGATTTGCGGACAGGCGTGTAGTTAAAGGTGTAAACTAACATCCTTAATAAAGTAAGGAGGGAAGTTTAAAACGTGCTTCGTTGAAATGTTAAATCCAGTCACGCCAAGCTAGCTCCACTAGCCTGTAACATTTGAGACATTGGGCCTTCTTGTTAGGTCTTAACTCGCCTTTCAGAGACATATTTAACACAAATAGACTCACGGCGTGACTATAAAAATGATAAACACTCAATATGAAATTACCTGATAGGATTCAGAGCCCATTTAGAAGCTGCATTGATCAAAGACAAACGCCTGAAGCCGAGCAGTGACATTGAGGACGCCATGTTTGTTGTGAACGATGACGTACGGCGTCCAGTGAGGAACAAACTGAACGGGAGGTGGACGGAGACAGCTGGGAGAGAGCTGCTGGGTCCTGATGCCAGCGTCTAAAATTGCTCTTCTGGGATATGTTACACACAAGCAGAACATGTCCAGGCACATCCAGCGGCTATTTCACCCTAATGTTCGTTTCATATCACAAATAGCAAGGATGGTGGTGTTAATGGGAAGAAACTCAGCACATCCAGAGGATCTTGCCCATGCCTTCGCTGTCCAATGTTTCCTCTGTAAAAGCTTAATGAACCCTTTTATTATCTTTTATCCAATTTAATGAAATTATCAGTGTACTGTCGTATGCATTTATCACATTCAGTTTTGGAATAACTGTGGTTTAAATAAAGCTTTTTTTTTAAACTTGATTTCTTAGTCAAGATGACTCATAACTCGTAATTTTGCTATCATCTATTCTAATGGTTAAATGCATATTTACAGTTAATGGAGTGACTGCAGGGCCTTAACAGTACTGTATATGTACTACATATTCTACAGTGCCACGAGGTAAATCACTTTAGTCAAGGATGATAAAGATTGGTCCTCTAAAAGGGTTTAGTTATATGTAATGTGTTGTATGAATATAGCTTGAATGACAAGTGTTGTGCAAACTGGCTCGGAAACTTTTAACTGATAAATTACCAAGTAGAGAAATTAAACTAATCCGAATGAACCAAATGCTTGATCCAGTTGAACATAAAAATGACTTTGCATATTAACCCATGCAGCTAGATATACCAACAAACGCACTCCACAGTTGAAATGTATTTGTAGCATCACTGATGGTTGGTAAATGTATCAAATCTATGGACATAACGTATATCCTCAGATGACCAAAACATCAACTGAATGGAGGTCTTGTTTTCAGCCCAACATCAACGATGAAATAAACACATTGATCGATGTTCCCAGATCAATAACACAGCAGGGCCAGCGAAGAAGTATAAGGAAAAAAACTTTTATTGATTCACTCTTCATATCTGTACAAATACCATCAAACTTTGTATGTACATATGACATTTACATAAAAAATACAAAACTATATATTCATAACAGAATTTTGTATTTCTCTTGTGATGTTTGAAAATAAAATGCATTCTGAGAAATAAAAAAGAAAAATAAGAAACATAGTGATGAAGTCTGATATATGTGTAGTACTGCAGTCCGTTAGTCCTATTTAAGCTCTTCGAGAGCAGTATTGAGCACATTGGCAAGAAGACAGCACACAAATGTTAATGGCACATTGTTTAAAAAAAAAAAAATCAAGTATCATCCAAAATCTACCTCTGTTCTGTGGTGACACAAAATAAATGCTATTGAATAATGTCTAAAGTTGTCGTCTCCGTGTGGAAACACATCTACAGGGGAAAGAACGGAAGGGTAACAAAAAAAGAAGAAGAAAAGAAACACAAATGGCTCTCTTTTTCTTTTCCACTTCATCACTGCTGTGTTGCAGCTTTTACAATGCTCTTTTGCAAAACCATTGAGAGAATCCCTTTGGTCAGTTATTATGAGTTGTAAACAACCAGAAACACTTCTGTACATAAAATGATTGATATATTCCCAATAAATAAACACACAGCCTAAACATGCATTTACGTATGTGTGACATAAACATCTGTGATAGAGATCTGACAGAAACAAGCAGATTTGTACAGCTCAGGGAATGCAATTTACAGCTTGAAGAGGACTTATACTTACACGTAACATGAAAAATAAATAACACTGCTTCTCTTTGGACAAATATATTTCTTCATGATAAAAAAAAAGAAAGTAAAAGGGACAACAACAACAAAAAAGGGGGAAATGAGTGGTAACACAATATATCATGGTAGATAGTAAGCCTGACATTGTAATAGTATAAATTATAAAACACAAAAAGTATAAATAAACAGCTAGCAGACTGAACTATATGTATACTTCCTTTTCTTTAAAAAATAAATAAGCATACACATAATTTACAGTATGGACATGATTCCTTGCCCTAGGACTGTTCCCCTAGTGATGGGGGCCTATCCATCCAGAACAGAAGATATATGGACAAAGGCCTTGTAGTCTGAGTCCTCATCTTCCTCATCCTCCTCGTGGTCTTCTGTAATGGCTATGTGGGAGAATATACGGTAGCTGTTGTATGAATATGGACCACAACAGTGCAGAAATAACGAATGTTCTAAAAGATATACGTACAGCAAAACCACTGGCACACACTCTCCCTTTTGTTTTTCTGTCTTTATGTGTGTGTATGTGCGTGTGTGAGCATGTGTGTGTGTGTGTGTGTGTGTGTTCGTGTGAATATATGCATCTGTGTCTTTGTATGCATCTGTGTTTGAGGAAATGTGTATGACTTGACAACTACTGTGGTATCCCCAATTCAGTTCCCATTTACAAGACAGAGCTGCATCAAGAGAAGAATGATGTAGAATAGGGGTAGATGTGTGGTTTTGGGGGGGGAGTGGGGGGGGGGATGGGGGGGGTCATACAAGGTGGGTTGAAGGAGGGTGCTAAAGGGCTGATGGTTGCAGTGGATCGGGTCTCTTTTGGGTAGATTCCTGAAAGCAGACACACAAAACACAGAAAAGTGCTCTTGTGTTCTTGTACTTGATCATTTCTTTGCTCTGATTGGCCTGTTTCGTGTTTCTGGCTCAAACAAACAGGGAGGGAGGACTCTGTGTCACAGCCTGGCCTTATAGCAAGCAGGTCAAAGGACATCAACACAGTTCTGAGGTATTTCCTTTTTTTTCTTACATTGGACAAAAAATAATAATATATGCACACAAGCAGGAGCAAGAGTGACAATACGGAAAAAGAAAAAAAAAACACAGGCAGTCCCTCATAGATCCGAATGGATTTGTCATTTTGATACATATTCTGGACAATACATTCACTGGAAACAGCACGAACAGTTTAAGTTAGCGGGTAAAATTTTCAGTGAGAAGTAAGAGAGCGCGGTTCGACAAGCTTCCTCTGCTTATCCTGCAAACTGTGAACTTTCACATTTATATTTAGCTCATGAGGTGATTATAAAGTTGGTCCCTTGGATTCAATTGCATACCTTAGGTACATCACATTTACGTACTCAACCAGGAGAAAGAAACAAACCCTCGTCTTGGAATGTAAATTTGATACTTCCTTGAGGCCATCATTCAATTTGACGGTTTCACCCACAGATTTAAGAGCGCATGAGTGGCGCTACAGACAAAGAGGTCTACATGAAAACCAGCATTAAAATCCCTTCTAATTATCACTTACATGGCACCAATGTTACAATCACCTTATGCACACCATATATTTAAAGGTATTCTGTCCTTATCGACATGTTGGCAGTGAGGTGTATGTCACAAGAGGCAGTGCATTTTGATTGATTGATAACAGCCGAAAGCAACAAGAAAAGCAAGAAAAACATAATATAAAACACAAATACACCAATAACTTGATATTAGAAAATGTGACCATAGAATTTACAAGCTGTAAAGATTTGACCACACTCATAATAAAGAATCCATTACTGATTAAAAACTGCATGATATTTAAGGCAACCTGCTCCTGCAGGTCTCTCAAATGATTAAAAAGTTAACTAGACATTTAAATATCAGGATTGTTCCACTGCAAACAAAATTAGTTTCCTTTATTATTTGTAATTATTTTATCGGGTTAGCTTTCCTCAGACCTTTAGATCGAGTCTGCTGATACATATTTATGCCTTTTCATTCACTTTTCTGTTTTTTGTTTTGCAGAAGAATTGAAAAGAGTCAAATTAAAATAGAAAGAAAATAACAAGAACACAAGAACAAAAGCCAGCAACAAAGACAACATCATGCAAGTTCTTCTATTCCCAAGTCCATTTTGCTTGCTTAAGCTGCGCTTGGTGGTGTGGCTGAGGGGTAGGAAGTTGGGAAAGTTGGGATGGGGGGGGGGGGCACTTTCAGGGGATGTTTTCTGCTGGGGGAAGCAACATGAAATATTGTCTTTCGCTTGGAGAGAGGGATGACAGGGATGTTTTTTTTTTTCATTCTTCTCACATCTTTCTCTTTTATTGTTTACTTACAGTTGCAAGATCCTGCATGCTTGACTTCTAGCAGCACCCCCATAGAGCAAGCAGCCTGCTTCATGGCACATTCACTGGGATATGTGGTGTTGTCGCTGGCACACACCGCCTCGTCCGTCCTGCTCTCTGGACAGGCCTCATCACACAACGAGCAGCGGCCTCGGCTCATCCGAGAATCCCACAGACACTTCTTCCCTGCGCTGCACTGGATGTCCTCACACGACTTGGCTTCTAGAAGGACAGGGGAGGAAAAATCAGCAACAGGGGACATTTCTGATTAGGTGGATTATCATGAATGCTTTCAAGAAGGGTCAGATTACTAAGCAAGGAATAACAAGTAAATTCTGTTTTATGGTGTTAGAAGATGTGATGGGGACGTTAGGGCTTGTTTAAATTAATATTTCTAACATTGCATGACTCAAATTGACTCCTTTTTTTTGGATAAGAAACCATTTGAGTCAAATATTAACTTCAAGCATGTCTTCATGGCCCCCAGCACTCCCCTTATTCTCTCCATCGCTCCCCACCCCTTCTCCTCCCCCTCTCTCCCATGTGCACCAGTGCTGCCAACATCAGGAAATAATAAGATGTCTATCAATTCTTGAGCAAACACAAGCAACTACAAACACTCTCTCTCTCTCTCTCTCTCTCTCTCTCTCTCTAGACCCCCTCCTCAAAGGAATGTTGGCAAAAATGAGCAGAGAACAACTGCAGATCTGGCCATAATAAACAAGACAAAATGCTCCCCAACAATCATCAGAGTCAGTGACTGGAGGCACTCTCACACACAAGACTCTCACGTGTTTAATAGCACACTTACTGATGCATTTTCCCTCATATGCCACTCCGATGGATCTGCCCAGGAGACAGGTAGCTCTTCTCAGGTGACACGCGCTAGCGTAGATGATCCCGTCGTTTCCACACAAGTACTGCTCAGGCGACGTCACCTCAGGGCAAATCCGATTACACGTCACACAATACGCGTTATTCGTCTGGTCCACGACGCATGTGGAGCTGCCGGGGCACAAGACGTCACGGCACGTTTCTGTGGAGACAAAGAAATGGGAAGATTTCGTGAAAATTGCGAGAAGAAAATAATATTAAACCGCTGGATTCTTAGCACATGCAGCTTTGAGGAACATGTTGAACATTTACTTACTCTTGCACTTTCCCTGGTACTGCACGTCCAGGTCTGGGTGGCCTTTACATTTAGCTTTCAGCAGTGCGCATTCGTCTTTGTAGGTCTTTCCGTCTGAGCCGCAGACGGGTCCTTTCCAGGTGATGTTGGAGCAGTCTGGCGCGCACACGCAGCGCGGCTTACTTCTTCTGTTCATCTTGCACCTCTTTCCAGGCCCACAGTCAACATTATCGCAGGTTTCTGGAAGAAAGAAAATGTTTTATACGATGCTGCCGAGGATATGGGACTTTTGCGTAAGTCTGGCGCTTTACGTGCATAATGAATAATTTACGCAATATGGATGCGCAAATGGGATCATACTTCGGATGAATTGACGTTATCATTTAGGATGTGTATTACGAGAAAACGAAGGGAAATGAGTGCACCTCCACCTTTGCAAGGTATGCAATTTGGGGCTCCGCCATTGAAGATCATCCACCTAAAGAGCGTGCTGTTGGGGACGTCCTCCTCGGTCCAGGACGTCCCCAGTCTTCCACTCCGACAGCACTCCTCCCTGGTCATCCCGGGCATGTAGAGCACCTGGCACCTCCCGTTCTTCCCCTGCTGCAGCCAGCAGTTCCCAGCTGCAAACAAACAAACACAAAAATCTTTCAATGTTGCATGCTGAACGCCTAAAACCGCTGACCCAGACGCACCAGACACACGCAGCCTGTATTATCCGAGACGCTCCCTCCCTCCCTTTCGCCCTCCCGGCACTATTTTGTCTTATTTTTTTAATTTTTTTTTTGCGAGACAGTTAACACTTGCCTATCCTATCTGTGACGGACAGCCCTTACAATGCAGACACAAACCAAAAAGTAGGAAGAATCTTTGGAGGGGGGTTTATCCTTTATTCCCAGAGCCTCCTTGTTATCACTGGACAGAAAGTGGAGCGTCTAGACAGTGTTAAATAGCAGCCAATCTCCTTCAAAAAAAAAAAAAGAAAAACCCACACACCACCGTCTCCACCGCCTCAGAACAATATCCCAGACATGTACACTCCAGACAATGACTTGTTTTTTCACAAAGCACTTAAAAAACTTATTCTGAATGTTTGAAAAAGAAAATAAAACAGAATAGTAATCCCATTGCTTTGGCATAGACATATCTCTTTATCCAGACATCAGCAGGATGTCTGAACCGACTCAGACACACATGATATTAAGTGCTCTCTAACTGTTGTGTTTCTCAAATTGAACACAGACTTGCCTTATATCGCGTTGTATTCTAAGATCTAAAAGAAATAGGTTTGATGCAAAAGTCTTTAGTTGCATTATTTTTGTCAAATATCTGGAATCGCAGAGAGAAATATCATTGTTGCACAAAAGGCTGAATGTGTGCTTGGAGGAAATATACACATAACACATCGATAAACTCACAGTGGATGTTCTGAACTTAAGTACAGCTTTAGCAACAACGTCGTAAGACTGTATTTGCTTAGACTTAAGTGTAAGAATATGCTCAGGTATTATGGAAAGCTGGCGCTGCAACACGGCGTGGCGACCTTAAGTGTGTGCGCCAAGCCAGGGCTGCAAAACTTGCCATTTAGTCACACTTTGAAGTGTCCCATATGGCACCTGTTTTATGGACGCTTTAGGCACGCACTGTCTGATGCGGGGAGAGTTTTATCAGCGGGAAAAAAAAGAAACTTACTTTGAAAAGAAAGTTTCTCGGTTGCCGCAAGTGTTCGACACTCGGGCAGGTTACGCGTCTGACAGCAGGGGAAGTTCCTCCAAAACGGAAAAAAATGAAGAAATTTGATGTAGAGAGCTTACCTTGAACTTTTTGATGTTCCATGAGGTGACAAAGCCATATGAAGAAGAGAAAAATGCCCGGGTGGAGGTGGTGTTTCAGCATCCTAAACATGATGGAGAGGCAATGTGAACTACGTATTTGACACAGGCAAGCGCAAAAGTAATCTGCTTAGGGTGGCAGTGTTGAATAAGTGTCAGTCTGAGAATGCAGCCTCTCTTTTTAAATCTATAAGGGGTCTCGGGTTGACTGTCTCTGGTGGGCGGTCTCCTCATCTGTGGGGGTGGGGATATTTTTTTTTTTCTTACCAAAGTTTTTTCAATCCCAATCAGGTGACATCGTTACAGGCAACTTTCTCTTGCAGAAACAATCAGAGAATATGAACAAATATAATATTTTGTAATAAAAAACTTTTTTTCCCAGAATTTTGCAGCAAAGTAAAAACATACAAAATGTGACAGTTGGTATGAATTTGGTATACATAGATAAAAGAGTTATTAATGTTTTATTTTGATAGCTTTTGTGTCATTTTATCAAATTGAGCAGGACTCTGGTATTACGCATTGCATGGATATGTGCCGTTAAGATAATATTATTATTATTATTATTTAATAATAATCTAAATCATAAAATGATGATAATAATAATATTTAAGGTCGTTTTTAAGGCATGGGCTATGTTAAGGCCTTTATTACTGTATAATCAAACAGGCCTACAGCCAACATCCGGATATACCGTCCGTCGTTAGTTAAGAGTACTACATGATTGTAACTGATATTTTTCCACCAGCTGCAGACAAAAGTGTAAATCTTTTGATGAGACTTGCCCGTTGGAATACATCCGAGCCCAGACAATAATAGAATTCATAGTAGTCCGCAGCCGCACTGCTAATATTAGAACAGACAGTTGTTTGGGTTTCTCTCCCGGGTCAAGCTTTTAAATATAATCAAACCTGTTTCCGAAGAGGCTTCAGACAGAGGAGCGGGGTGTTGCATTTCATTGAATGAAACGCACACACACATACACACACACACACACACACACACACACACACACACACACACACACACACACACACACACACACACACACACACACACACACAGGCTGAACTCCCTCAGAAGTCCTCGCGCGACCTCTTCAGCGGAACTCTGGTTACAGCTCGCACGCACGCACGCTCGCTCTCTCTCTCTCTCTCTCTCTCTCTCTCTCTCGCGAGTGAGCAAAGAGCAAAGTGTGTGTCCGCTGTGTGAATCAGACACCAGGGAGTTAATTATCTGTTAGCCAGGAAGAACACACTCTAATCTCCTTATTAACTCCGGTGAAATACCACTTAGGTACCCTTTAGCCATAAAATATGAGAACACATGCAAGTAGTGTTCTCATATATCCAGAGGTGGGGTCTTACTCAGACGGTATTTTTTTTTTTATCAGTTTATGTCCTACAGCTAATATGATCATGTAATATGACTTGTCCTTCTTTTTCTTCATCCGCTTTAGTAATGTATCCGTCAAATATTTGTTATGCTTGTAAGTGTATTATTGGTTCCCATCACTGAGCAATAACTTTTGTTTATTATTGATTTTTATTACAAACCATCATTTACACAAATTACCCCAGGATGAAAGCAATAACAGATGCTTATGAGAGATTCTACAATAACATGCATTCCTCACAAATAACAAATAACTTAACCAAAAAAAAGATCATTTTACACCCAAGTACAACTCACAACCACAACCTTCTCTCTCTTAGACCACCCACAGCCTCTCAAATAACACCAAAGATGTCTTTATTTGTAGTGATAGACTCATTTCATTCCTTTAAAAAAAAAAAAAAAGAATTCAGGTGGGAATACAGGCACAGAGAAGATCAAACACCAGAAGAAGAAACAGAGTAGTGTGTTAATCCCTGACAGTCTATGGTTCATCCTCAAATGATTGGAGCAGCTAATAGATCTTATAAATGTTATGACACGATACAATGTGATACACTTTATTGTTTCCGTATGATCTATCTACTTTGAATTACAATCTAAAACAGCAGTCTGCAAACTCTTTCTTAATGGTGCTTCTATTACCCATCATGTGAGACATATTTACACATATCGTGTCTTTCTTCCTCTTTGGCAGATATTTGTAAACCTTTCCCTCCTTTCAGTCCAGTTTGTGAACAACCAGTCCCCAATTCTAAAGTGACTTGTGATTATTTACGATAAAGAATTGACAGATTTAGTTTAAGACAATTAAGCAAATGTCATATTTGGGATTTAGACGGAATATTTTCAGTGTCCAGTGAAAGCCAAGACAAGGGGTTAGTGATACACAATAATGTTACGCTGTTGGGCACATTTACACACTCATCCTTTAATAACAACATCGAGAAGGTCTTTACTTTTGAGACACTTTTAATCACAGTAAACTATTTTGTTTTGAAAGTTGACACATTTTCTATCCTACTATGCGTGCCTTTGTTGAAGTTAAGGGTTTAACTATTTTTACATTTGGCCGTCAGCAAATGAATTGAAACCAATCCGTTCAGACTAATTGGATTTGGAAAGAGTCAAGTCAAAGTTTCACAGAGGCCTTACAGATGCTGTTGTTTATAAAATAACCATGATAGTAAATTTGCTGCAATGCAACAAGTCAGCATCTGTGGGGATTACTTCTTTCAGCAACTCTGAAAATGTTCACTCGATGTGATCTAAGTTTTGTTTGGCAAATCATTCAGTGTCTGCTGTGTGTGATTTGTGAGATGAGTATCTTTGTAGAGTTGAGGCTACCAAAACATTTCCTGACATGAGAGTACATTTCGACCCGCTGTATCAACTTTAAAGTGCTGGCTGATGTCCTGAAGCTTTTAATGGCATCAGCAGAGGGACATTGAACGCTCCTTGTCCCAGACTCTGAGCTGAATGTGGCTCAAACGGACTCATACAGCAAATAATTAGTGCTAATTGGAACTTTTCTGACCCATGAGGCCCATCATTATCATAGATTATAATACACGACTGTTCTTTTTTCATCTACTCCAAATATGTGACAAGATATTCAAGTTTTTCTGGTGGAAAAAATTGAAATAAAATACATGAGAAATGTAGGACCTTTGAGTATAAAATTTAAAACAGTTCTTACAAAATTTGCGATTACATCACTTCTGATTCGGGAACAGTGCAGCAATTTGTGAGCAATCATGCAGGGTCAGTTTATGGCTGCAGCTGCCAATCACCTGCAGGTTACCCAAGAGAGATGGAAATTCAAAGGTGGTCGAAAACTTTCACTGTATCTCATTTCATCAACTATTTCCACATTGCTCCCCGAACACACATATGTAGACTCCAAATGCTGTTTCACAACGCTGTTATGCATGAGTAATTGTGAAACAGAGGAGTTCAATCATCCATCAAGTACTATATATCCACTCCAACAAGGCAAGTTTGGATACAGGCTCCAGAAAATATGCTACTTATTAAAGATAAATAGTAAACACAACCTTGCCAGATGCAAAGGAGTACATTCGTTTGTCTCAGCTGGGTGCTGGAGCTGGCTCGTTCAGAAGGAAAACAGTCAAAAACACATTTCCAAACAGTCCAGAGGCAAAGAAACCTTATAACTTTGGGAAAACACGACAGTCAAACACATTCAATTGTTCTGATGGTTGGATGGAAGTGGTCCAAAGGGGGGTCATTTTCAGGTTCAGGTTAGGAGAAGAGAGGAAAAGACAGGAGAGGAGAGGAGGAAAGGACAGGAGAGGAGGAAAGGAGAGGAATAGGACACAAAGAGTGAAACACTTCCAAGTGGGTGATACATTTTGAGTCATTAATTGACAGTTGCATGCAATGTTTAAAAAAACATGAATGTGTACTGTATTATGTAAACTATATTGTGCTGCCATCTTGTGGGGATGCTTTGCCAGTGCACATTAACGTGCAGCATCACTCGATTGGAGCAAACCTCTCACAAACTTCCTGTTTTTATTCCAAATGTACTTGGTTAGTGCTTTCTGAAACATGGATGCACTATGTCAGATACATTTCTGAGTATTACACTTTTAATCTGTGTTGAACAGTATGTACACACGAGGAACTGAAGGTTTTTATGAACGGCCTACATCTGAAACAAAATATCTTTGCTCTGAAACAAGGAGCCCATATATCATAAACACGTTTATCAACAGAAAAAATAATCTGCAGCTCTCTGAATTGTCCATTTGATCATTTTTAGCAAAATATGCCAAATATGTGCTGTTTTGTGTCTTGTTTGCAATTGATGTGAATTTGTGCAGGTTTATGACTATATTTTTGTCAAAACAACAATTTGAAAATATCTCCTTGTAGCCAGGGAAACAGAAACAATCATTATTTTAAAAACGTTTCTCTAGAATGTAATAGGCAAAACCAATTAATCAGTCAGGTAAGAAAATAATCAGTGAATTATTTTATTCTGAAAATAATAGCAAGATGCAGATCTTAACAATAGACGACAAACATTCTTACACCTTATGAGGCGCGCAATTTGTGCTACAAACAAAACAACTTAATGTTTCACTCAACTCATATTTCCAAATATATTTTCACATACAAAGATTACACGACAGTTAAAAATTGTATCTTACAGTATTTACAGTACAAATACAATGAAAGGGAGTAACATGAGACTATAAACTACTGATATCAATAGTCTAAATGCCAGAAAAGCCCTGAGTGCAGACAAGGACAGTGGATCTAAAGGCAATTCAACCTGAGGATTGTCTGGCTACAGCGTGTTTTTTTAAAAAAAAAGTCAATGCTTCTTTTTCAAACAAATTTTTTTCCAATCATGTTGTCCAATATTTGACAAACAGAAGTCAATACACAACTCAACCAAAATACGTATACAGTGTTCGAGTCAGGATGACAACATCTGCATCCAATTTCATGTTAGGCCCAAAAAAACAAAAAATAAAACAGGTGAGTTTGGTTATCCATGATGGGGGGGGGTTGGGGGTAAATTCAGTGTTTGCATTCATTCAAAGTCAGTGCATAAACCACACAGTCAACACATACAGTCAACAAAGCACAAAAAGAAAAACAATAATTCCCAGAAAATGTGCAGAAGATCAGACACCAGCTATCTGCAAACTAAAAAGCTTCAAATTGCCAAATGCCCAAACTTCCAGTGATTGAGCTTTAGTCCATTCAACTTTGAAAGAACCAGTGACCAGTACCAGTATCCACACTGAAAACAGTCCAGTGACGAGGGAAGCTGCAGCTTTTCCCCTCATTCAGTTTACAGCACTTCATCGACATGTGCACGGCTCTGCGTGTCGTCATCCGCCTCCTTCTGCAGCTGCTGGTACTTTCTCTTGAAAAACCCAAACTAGAAGGTAAACAGATTGAGTTCAGAGACAGTTACAGATCATTCAAAATACACAGGTAATGATAATAGATTCATCCAAAAAAAAAAATCACAAGACATGTGAGTATTTTACATCAGACTTAAGTATATGTTATATATAAAAGGGAGAGAGAGAGACATGATGCAGTGATGACTTTATGTACTAACCTTAGATTGCCTTTTGTTACATCAACAGAGGGCATATACGTTAAAAACGGCACATACCTAAGAGCATATCAGGCTTCCCATGTCTATGTGACTAGTCATGCACAAACCCACACATACCTTCCACAGCAGTCCTACAGCCAGAGCCAACAGTAGCAGTCCAGCAATGACACTACCAACTATCACTCCCACTGGAACATCACCCTTTTCTCCAGGTTTACTGACTGTCAACACCACCTGCACAGCAGTAGAACAGGAGCGGTCGTTATGTGGGCTTCCTCAGTTAGTTATGACAAAAAAGAAACGGGCGATCAAAAGTAAGACTGTTTCTACTGAATAAAAGAAAGTATATCAAACAATTATTTTTGTTGCATTTTGCAGTGGTGGATTTAAATGTAATTACCCCTGCTCTTATCCAGCATGTGGCCTTTACACAAACAATGATTCTGCATCAAAGTAATGCTGTCTATTGATGAGTCTATTACCAGGAAACATCACAATGACTTGTGAATGTCAGAGAACATAGATAACATGGTTTCCTTTTGTAGTTCTTTGATGCGAGGCATCAGATGAAATGACATCTTACCGGCAGCTCTTTAAGGTTGATAATGACCAGATCAGGGTTGGAGGTCTCAACATCAACACTGGACGTCAGCTCGACAGTCTGATAGGACGCCTAGCGAGACAAAATTATACCAATAAGAGCACTGAAAGCATCTGTATAGTTTAATATATATTTAATATTGAATATATTTACCGAAATAAATGTACCACTCCAGATCCTCGTTCTAACTTTCACAAAGTAGTCCGTATTAAGCTTGGCGTCTTTGAGGTTGCATTTTATGAACTCACATTTTGCACTCTTGCAGTCCTTAGGTTAGAAGAAAAAAACAGATTAATTAAAGAAAATCCACACATGACATCTAACTTCTGTCAAACCAACATTTCACATTGTTTAAAGTGTGTTACGCACCAGCCTAACTTGTAAACTAAATTGTTTTATTCAGCTTCAGCTATCAATGAAGTTTAAACACGTCATTTTTAGAGTAAGATTTGGAGGATTAAGTTGAACAAGTGTATAAAAAGTAATTAATTCTTACACGTATGGCCTTTTTTTGGTTTATACTTTATGAATCTTTTTATTTCATTATAACCCTCAAGAATGTTACTTTAAATCTCACATCCATTCAGCTATAAACACATAACATGGGTGAAAATTTCGAATTCATTTCCCACATATTATATATTGAAATGAAAAGGGTCCTCATATGCTCAGAGTGCAGTTTCATATTGGTGCACTATGACTTCTCCATGATACAAGTCTAAATACTACATGCAAAGATGTCTTCTTTAGAAAGTTTACATGTACTAAAAAGTCAGAACATGCAGAAGAAGAAGAAGAGACTGACCAGCTGCTCACTGCCTTTGAGGTTCTCCTCAGAGAAGGATGCTTTGTGGGGCTTCACACCGATCTTCAGAGGATCAACCAGGCTGCTTGAGTCACAGCTGACTGAATCTCCCTGCAGGTAGAAAAGATTCAGGTCATTTCTTATATAGCTTTGAAATCATGCAATACAAGTCAGAGACTAAGCCTTACTTTTTTTTTTTTTTTTAAAGTAGAGTTAATGGAGCAGGTTTGAACACTTTAAAAAGCTGCTGGTATTTGGGGACTCACCGCGTCCACGATGGTAACATAGAGGAGTGGATTTCCACCTTTAGTAGTCGTTGGCAGAGCGATGGTCAGATACAGGAGGTTGACAGGGAAGGCACCTGTAGAAACCTTTAAATACAATTGTTTCAATCAATATCTTTAAAATAACTACACACTATAATAAAGTAGATGATGGTAATACAGTGGTTGATTAGCACCTTCACTGTAAAGTTGAACTCAGGGCCGATGTCATCTAAAGTTTTCACCGTTGTCACCACAGGAATGGAAGCATCTGCCACGTAGAAATTAATATTTGTCTCCCTGGGAGAAAGAAACAACAAGCAATTTATAACTGTTGGACCAAAATGAGAAAAAAAAAGATGTTTTAAGGTAAGAAAAAGTAAAATCACCTTGACAGAACAACCCCTGCAGCATATTGAACTGGAATGGATATATCCACTTTGTTGTCTGCAGGGGTTTCCTCTTTACCATCACTGTAACAGAAAAATGTTTGCAACATTAATTCAAGCCAATAACTTTAATTCAGGGGAACATTTATCTTTCATTTCTCCGTTTGGTGAGCGTACCTTTTGGCCTCAAATTTCACCTCGGCTCTCTTTTGCAGCTGATCTAAACTGTATTCAAAATTCAACTGAAATTTCATCTGTAATGGAAAAATAGAAGAACATGTGTAAAGAGGAAATACTATGACTAAAATGCAGCTCAAAATAGAGAAAAGGAGTTAAAAAGATCGTTTGTTCTTGCACATACTTGCTGGTCTTTTTTTAATGCTGGGTATCCCACTTGGCAGGAAACCGTTTGTGATTGCGTTGAAGTGCATTTGATGCCATCCACCTGTAAATTAATTGTTCATAATATATTATTAATGCTATGTGGCTATATTCATAAACATAAAAAAGCTTTACCGTCTTGTTTTAAAATCCTTCGTTTCTATTCATGTTGAAAATATGTGAAGATGTCTCAATTTGCTCGATGGTGCATGTGTTTATTGTATATGTAACTTAATGACCATGAATTTGAATTATGTACTGTATCTTTAAGTTCTAGTTAAACCAGGGCATCACACATTACACATCATGTCAACGCAAACAACTTTAAGTGTTGGATTTGTTACTCACAGAAGGAGAGACGGACGAGTAGTAGAGATTGTTGGAGAACGTGGCCCAGACCTGAGTGTTGTACGCGTTCTCCTTTTTGTTCTTAACAACAACTTCAAACGACAGTTCTTGGATATTAGCGGTGACCAGAACCGGAGCTGAGCTGCAACATGAGAGCTCAGATTACGGCTCTATGCATTAGGCTGTACTTGCCACAAATTAAATGAGCAGTTTGAGTTGTATTCACCTGAGCAGAGATTTAGGAATAAGAAGGAATGGTTGGGCTCAGCTTTCCTTGATTTCACAAGGAGCTATTGAAAGCTTTTGGTTGATTTATTCATAAGGGGTTTAAAGAAGGTAAAATATATACATACAGAAGATGCAAACAGCACCTAAAACTGAAACAATAGCCCAGTTTCCACCATATATGATGCAATTCCCCTCCAGAATGCAGAATGCTGTATGAATATTAAACTGAACATCCTCAAGATGAAAAAGGACAACAAAAGGCATACAGCATATTTTAGTGTACTAAAAAAAAAAAAAAAAAAGCAGCTGCTTTTGATCAAATGGGCTTGAATGTGTCAAAGAACTTTAATAAGTGTTGTATGGTCCCTGTAAAGTTTTGTTTATATATTTTTGTCAGAGTCACTGAGTACATATCACCCAAACTTGGAAAAGTTTTTTCCTAGCTCACAGGTCTGACCCAGACATTTTATGGGCTGTGAAGTGGCTGTATAAACTGGAATTTTGTGCAGCAATTAGCAATTAAGACGGACTCATAAAACTGGGAGAAAAAAAAACGGTTTAATGGTTGTTAGGAGTTACTGGGGAATAACATTAAAAAGAATGAAATAGGGTTATACATTTTGCCTAGTTTGGTCTAGTCTTCTAACAGTCCTTGCTTTTGCCACACCGACATGGTCAGCACTACATGCTGTCTTTATGTTTGATTGAAGCCCATCTGGTCAGTGAATGTACATAAAACTATTCACAACTAATTGTTATGTCCAATAACTTAATCATGTAAATAACAATTATCCTCCTCATCAATCTTTGCATACCTTTAATGTAAATACTGCAAAACTCTACCTCATGTATATTAACCATCTGTTACATAATTACATATTTATTATCATTTTCATCTCAGCTTTTTTGCACTGCTCACCACAGCACTATTATCTTATTTAAACTTGTATATATTTGTCTTTGCTGTTTTTATTTTTACATTCAATGTTATACTTTTTGTACATTGAGAGCACAGTTCACCAAAGACAAATCCCTTGTGTGTGCAAGCATATATGGCCAATAAAGCGGATTCTGAATCTGAATGTAGTGCAATTTAAGAGCAACCTGGCACTTGAACTTCCTTTAGAGAAAGGTAGTAGTTATACACACATCAAGTAGGTGCAGGGCAGTGCAAAAACAGCAGACTGAGGAAGAAGGTATGCCTGCACTAGAACTTCCTTTCAAACAAAATTAAGAATCTATCTGACCTGATCTCGTCGAATGTTAACTCAATGTAAATGGATATGCAACAACCAAAATGTCAGGGGCAAAAAGTCTGATTGTTTTTTAAAAAAAGTAAATTGTCTGTCAATTCATTAGCATAACCACATAGTTGTCAAAGCTTCTTAATGTCATTTAATTCACCTTTATTCTTTATTTTTCCAAGCTGTGCGATCATGAAAAAAGAAGAGCACTGCTAAAAACACGAACGAAGCAATGGCTATAAAGAAACATTATCTTTAGTACTGTAACCCCCTTTCTACCCCTCTGGTTAGAGTGAGATACTGAGAGTGTAAGTAGCCTACAGGGCTTTAGAATTATTGAAAGATTTCACAATGACTCATTTTAAAGACATCCTGTTCGTAGCTGTGTCCCAGCTTGTTCCTCCACAAACTGTATTATTGGACTTCATGTCATTTACAACAACAGAATTGTTTACTACAAGCTAAACAAGCTTACCATAGAGCTTAGCATATCACATGTTATATATTGTACATGTTCTATACGGTAATTATGACACATTGCATCTTGTAGGAATAAGTGATTCTTACCTCGTCCCCTTTGTGTCTGTCTTCACACTCAGCACCAGATCACTTATACACACTTCATCAGAGCCACAGTCTTTTGTGAAAGGCATCTTAAGAAATAACAGAACAACATATAAACCTCATGTTAACCAAGTGTGGAGGTGGGAAAAACACAACGTATCAGAACTTCATTTTATTTCTACTGAATTAGATGAACTTTGTCTTCTTTGAAAAATGCTTGCGTGACTTGGAGAGACACTTCTGTTTTAAAAGCCAGTAATCATCACAAACGCACACTATGTCATTTTGTATGACTGTACAAACACCCCCGCACCGCGTCTAACCAATCTGTTTCCTGTAGACCTGTCAAGACCACAGATCAAAAACAACATTTAAATAGATGGAGAGATAATGCTGTGTCAGTCACTTACAAAGAACTCCCAGGCACTTGGCGAAAACAAATCAAGGACAGGGTTGACATCTGCGTTCTGCTGCTCGATTTCCACCTTCAGACTGAGCGAGTTGACAAAGTCCGGTGGGTCCTGTTGAAGACACCAGATACGGACAAATCATGAGATAATGTTCAACATACTTCACGCCTAGTCTGGAAAAAACACTATTATATATGTCTCTACAACAATCACATCAAGTTGTTGACATAAAAGTAGTCATTGATGCTCTTTGACGATGGTACTAAATTGAGTCATGAAGAAACAAAGCACAATTTTCATTTATTACCTGAACATACACTTGGTAGTCTAGACACAGGGGCTTAGATGATATCTTTGCCTTTTCTGTGAAGTAGCGTTCATTGTTTTTGGTGAACAGTCCTCTTGATGTCACTCGGAAGCCTGCAAGTCAGCGTCCAGGGTCAAAGTGTAGGAAATATCTATAGGGGTAAAAACGGACTCTACGTTACACACATTTCTAAATCTGAGTTCAACTGATTTGATCTATAAACACAGCGATTACAAACGGGATACATGCTTGTACACTGAATAAAAGACTACCCTTAGCTTAGCAGTTAACATATGGAAACAGCATTTGTGATCTAAAGGGAACAAATGCACCAATCCCTAAACTGAGATTTTTACACTGAGCTTTGTTGATGCTGATTTGTATTGGATTGGAGGCATAGCTCGGTTGAGTGTTTGCACATATTCCAGCTAAGCTATCATGCAATTGGCTGTAGCTTTAAATGTACTATACTTACATGAGAGTGGTACTGAGCTTATCATCTGGACATGAAGCCACAATCATGTTTCCCAAATGTTTTACTTTAAAAGCAGAATACCCCTGTTAATTGTTTAGCACCAATACACCAAGTCAAATTCCTTGTATGTGTAAATGTACTTGGCAATAAACCCCGATTCTGATTCTGATTCTGAAACATTTATTTTGAAAAGTCTAACAAGTTAAAGATTTACCAATGGGCCCAACCGGTTTCTTAGGCCTGAATGCAGCACTGAAACACAGGTTGGTGTTGAAACATGACACCTTGCGTCCATTGATGTCACAGGGTTTGGAGAAAATGTTGATTTTATTGGGTGTGAAAGAAGCTCTTGCCGTTACAGACGCAACACCTCTGGACCTGAAACACAAGGACAATTATAAATCGTTAGCTTTTCCGGTTCTATACATAATTCTTTCATTTATTTATCTCCATAATCATTGCAAAATTTACAGAAATTTTACTCTGTCACAATGTTTTGTATAGGTTTTCTTTACGATCCCAAATATTGTGATGGGTAAGCCTACCACAGCTGCACCACTTTGCCATATGCCCCCACAGAGATGTCAGGGAGTGTGTCATCATTCAGATCTTTGTAGCTATCTAAGGACCTTCCAAAATACCGCAACTGTGGATCCAGTTTGGAACCAGTTATTCTCTGAAAAAGGTGAAAAACACAGTCAAATAAACAAATACTCCCTCCCAAAAACTAACAAAAACATCAAATACCCCAAAAAATCTGTCAGTCAAATATTAAATGATTGATCTGTGCACCTGTGAAAACTGCTTGTTTAATGTCTTTTTATCCCCATTGTAGATGTAGATGACACCCTTTCCTTTGTCTTCTAATGGGGCTCCAACCACAACATCATTGAAACCGTCGAGGTCCAGGTCAGGTACCGCAGAGATTGCCATCCCAAACCGGGCGTTCTCAGTTTGGGGTGGACCATTTAGGAATCCCTGCTCGTTCAGGATACCCTTCAGATGATGAGACATTGATATGTGACCAGTGGGGCTTAAGGTCACGCTTTATGATCAATTTGCAAGACAGGCTTAGTTAGTAAGCATTTAGGAATCTTTGACTATCTTTCAGTAAGTTGGCTTAAGAATATCTAGCCGCATTGATCGGCCCTAAATCTATAATTGTAATCGTGTTTAATTTGCCTTAAACGGTCTACCTTAATGCCCCAGTGTAAGTTATATAACCATGTTCTTGTTCACTGCTGCTCAGAAAATCCAGACCCACAAAGTGATACTATAGAATTGACTTGTTGCTCAGTTGTACCTTGGTGACAGAGAAGAGGTAGACCCTGCCTTGTTCTCTCTTCAGCTCACTCATGAACATAGGGGCACCAACCAGCAGCAGGTCCGTCACCCCGTCTTTGTCCACATCCAGGGAGCACAGGACGCTTCCAAAGTATGATCCAATCTAGGACAACAATTATTCATAAAGTTAGTTAAATTAGTATCTCAGGGCTACATATTCTGTATATACAGTATAACCAGGATAATGTTCAAAATCACAGCCTCCAATGTACCTGTTTTCCTCTTTCTGAATCTATGATAGCAGACTGTTTCTGTGAGTTGAGGGTGTAGACGATAACTTGTCCAGAGTGGTTGGAGCGAGGTGCACCAGCCACAAAGTACTCTGTAGACCCATCGCTCAATGTGGAGACAGAATAACCTAGAATAAACCACAAGTTACACATTTACTGGAATTAAACTTCTTCTCAGTACATTTACTTAAATACTGTGCATTTAAGGATCATTTAAATCACCGTGATGCTGCTTTTACATCACTATATTTAAGAGAGAATAAATCACTTTTTATGCCACTATATCTGTTTAAAAGCTAGTATCACTAGTTACTTACAAACCAACTACTGTTTTATTAATTATGGTTCTTTAGATCTGTATTCGGGGAAAAGTTGTGAGGAGAAATGCTGGACAATTATATTACTTAAAGGACCAATATATGTAAGATATTACTGAATGAAATCATAAAATGGCTTGAACAATGTAGAAACATCAAACAAACCCCATCTTCCATCTATCCAAGCAAGAGCTCATTATTTTTTTTAAAAAGGACATAGAATTATGCATAATCACATTTTCATTACTGTATTTCATCAGGCATTAAGGAAACATGCCATGTTGAAGTGCTGGTTTCTCTGACAACAATGCAGCAGCCATTATGTCCTCCTTCTAAGTTTTGATTCCGGTCAACAATGGTCTGTATTTGTTTGGACCAGAGAAGGTAGGTGGTTTAAACACACGGCCGTTTAAGACACCCCTCGGTTGGCAAACCAACAGAAGTTGTAGTGATGGAAGCGGGCAAGCAACCTGGTTCAAATATAAGTGATTTTACCCGACCTGAAAAGCCTCTGCATTTTTCTAAAAGGCTCCATGACGAGAAAGGTGGTCAAACTAGGATAAATATTGGAGATACTTTTGAAAAACGGAGAGAGGTCAGCGCAGAAAGGTTTCAAGACCAATGCAGAGCTGTTTAATACTAAGAGGAACAATATGTAACTCTGACACGTAGCGTTTCAAATGGGTACTGCAATCCAAATTGAAAACATTGAAGAGAGCTGTCTGTAGTGTTTAACTCTCAGTAATACGATTCATAGCAGGGAAGGTTGTAGCATCAGCAGATTATAATCAACACAACAGAAAACGTTGATGAAAGAGAAGTATCACATGCGCAGTATTTATTGAATGGGGCTTTAGGTTATTAGATGTAAATGTTAATTGGAGCACACTGCTGAACTATAATACATTATTAGAATGATCCACATCTAGCATCCACACTGAAATGCTGCTTATATGTAAAGTCATTGTAGTAATTCTTGAACACGTGTGCTTAAATATTAGAAATTATTTTTGCTCCCTTGTTTGCCTGTGCTGTGGCAGATCAAATAACCATCAGTATTTTTACTTTTAGATCAGCACATAAGCTGAAAACTCCTTCCCCAACTTGTGCTTGTATTTGCGGCTATCCAACGGTTTCATGGTAGTAGGATTTAAGTGAAAAATATGTTAAATCTCTGTTATACCTGTTGTTTGTTTGTTTGTTTTTTTTGTTATGGAGGGTCAAAGGTCTTTTTATGAACTTTACTACCTGGCTGGCTCTTATTTCATGCTTCGCTCCAGGTATGTCATTCAGAACACGGATGCAGACAACTTTTAAATGAACTACGATTGAAAATGTCACATGAAATCAAACTCTTTACTCCTGCAACACATATTTGTAGTTGTTGAGGTTAGAAGTTGCACAATAATAATCATAACATGAACCATTAGGTGACATCATGTATATCAACTTGTGTATAAATAATGATAATTAAAAGCAAAAAGAAAAGAACGGTATTGTATGTAGTTCGTAACGTTAATAAATCAGTTAATTTAAACAATTAAGAGTAGGTATTCTCAAATGTCAATCACTATGGTCCAGTAACACTGGCCGTAGATGATGCCAACATTTTATTGAGTCTTCTTTAAGTCCCTCTTCTCAAAACTTGGGAAATGGCCCATCAAAGCTGGTCGAGATGTTGACATTTTCAAAAGAAAAGTTTCAAACGGTTTCCACCTTGCCTGAGGACCTCCACTATGGCTGAGCAACACTGAGCTCCTGGTGTTGTTTCATGCAAAGACTTGTAGTAACAGAAATCAAACTTACAATGGATTAGTTGATGAAGAAGGTAACTGTTGAAGCTTACCCAGTAATGAGCTGTGGTTTCTGTCTTGAAGTATTCCCTCGAAGGCTGAGAAAGGTAAAATGTCTACATTTGACCCTTTTTGATGAACGACAGTACCACTCCAAGCATAGGCTCCCACTGCTCCCAACATCATCACATTCTATAACAACACACATGTCAAACACCGGTCAACAGATATACCACTCAGTCAAAGTGTTTATATTTTTGCTTAGGGTTACAGACTGAGCGGTTTGTAACAGCCAACATTTGTTTCCAGACACAAATAACGAGAATAATGACCAGAACTACAAAAACCACATACTGCGTGGCGACATGTAGCTTCCTCTTTCCTTTCTGTGAGAACGGTGCGTTGGCAGAGCAGATATTTTGCAGAGGAGTTCCGTGACCAGTGTTATTGTCCCTCTTAACCTGGGTCACAGAAGACTAAATACTCAACCTGAGCCAACCTACGTTCTCAGGTGCCGGTCGGTTGTAGGAACAGAAAAATAAATAAATTGTGGCACACTGAAAATTACTTTACTGTGGCTTTATTGTGAGCAATTTTATCATGTGTCATGCTGGGCGAACCTGAGGGAAATGTGTAGTTCGCTCACAACTAAGTAATTGACAGTACATTTATTTGAGCCACATTTTATATATTTTTTCATATGCATTTGGTATTTTATATTTCAACAACACAACTGGTACTCGTTACCAGCTTTTACATTTGTTGTGTGTGAATGTGGTTAAGACATATACACTCTCATACTCACCCTCCTCCATCAAAGCCAAACAGGAAGTGAACAGATGAGTTGGTTCCTTATAGCCACTAACCATACACTTGTAAACAAATAAACCATAAGAAACCTTCATACGTGCCGCTAGAATTACTTCTATGTGGAGCACTCTGAACAATAATAAGTCAGTGCATCAGTGTTTTTACATTGTGAGTATCACTGTGTGTGACAGATTCTAGTATTTACTTTGACGCGTTGTATTTTTCAATGGCAAGCATTGACACTTCATGAAGATAACATAAAATCTGTTCTGATTTCAGCTGAATATTAATCTTTCGCTGTACATGGCAGTGCTCTGTACCTGTCTGCTGGAGTAGTGTGCGCTGAATCCCACCTGGGACATCTCCATTTGGAAGTTGTCGCCCCCTTTTCCAGTGCCTTGTGGGTGAAGAGCAAAGTATAAAAACCAGAATCAAAAAAGAAGGCAGCTACAAGATCAAGACAAATTTCCAAATGTGTATAAATATGTGCTCACTGTTGTGAGCTTTAGCGGTGCCTGGCTTGTTGTGTAGCCTAATTCTGATTCTTTAAAATGGAAAGACTGAATAAACCTGCTGTTTTGTTTCTTTTGAGGCACTACCTGACCGCCATACATCGCCTAACTACTGATCTGCTGCACCTGTGGACGCATGCTGCATTCATGTGGTGTCAGACACATCGGAAAAACGAGTTTCTGAGTTGCTAAATGCACATGAACAGCTGCTCAAGTCAGAACAACAACTCAGAAACTCTGAAAAAAATTAGGTGCCCGACTTACCGACTTGACATCAGAATCATCATCATATAAGGGGCAAAATGTGTTTTGTTAATGTTAACAAAACGCAGAGGAAGTGAGAAATGGTGGCTGAGGCCATGCTTCAGGTCCTGGCTGCAGATTGAGAGAGAGTGGGCTTGACTCTGGTTTTTGCAAATCAGTAGTTAGGGGATGTATGGCGGTCAGGTAGTAGGCTCAAAAAAAAGAAACAATGTCAAACAGGCACACATACACTAGTACACACCTTCTATGTTGAAGATGCGGTTCCCAAGTGTTCCAGCGATAGTGGAGAGCGCGGCTTCCTCTGACACATTGAAGAAGTACTGTGCTGATGGTTTACTGGCGATGGACTGAATTTCTTTTATCAGGTTTTCTGTGTCGATTTGGTTTCTGATGTAATAACCCAGGACCTGAGAAGACAGAAGAAACACCACAAACTCAGGATTGAAAGAAGAGCAATAATCAATGTCATAAAATGTAATGTTATATAAACAGAGCTACATTAAGCCATAACATTATGCATAGTAAGTGGTTGGAAGACATTCATATCTATAACTACAGCAGTATTTGTGGTTCCTAAAAAAGACTTGTATACAATATTAATGAATGATGTTACGGAAGAGGATTAAGGCCACTGAAAAAACATTTTTTGGTTCTGACTATTTTTTAGGATTCTGACTTTAATCTCAGAATTCTGACTTTAATCTTGCAATTCTGACTTCTTTCTCAGAATTCTAGCTCCGAAAAACAAAAGTCAGAATTCTGGCTGCAAAAAAAAAAAAGTCAGTTCTATGTTTTTCAGGGGCCCTAATCCTTTTGATGATGTAAAATTATTATAAAATGCAGAACCTGTAAATAAACCTGACAGTGGAAGTAAAATAATACACTAAGAGAAATGAAGCTGAAATCTGTATCTTGTATTTTATTCTAACTGTTAAATACAACTTTCACATGATCAGAGGGAATGGCAGAATTTAACCTACAGCGATACCAAAGCGGGTGATGCCATTTTTCTCACACTCTGCGATGACATCATCTCTGAAGGCCTTGTCGTGAGACTCCCCGTCAGTGACGACCACCATCACCTTAGCAGCATTGGGCCGACCACCCCTACTTTGATGGAATCCCCACTGACTGAAGAGAGCAGACACAAATGACACTTGAGATTAATGTTTGTGGTTTTAAAAGATATAAAAAACCTGTTTTTTTAAATCTTTAACTGACAGACCAACTTGTGAAGTTAATGTGATAACAAAAAAGCTATGAATCAACGAACAAACCTACAGTTATATTTCTTAATCTCAGTATAACTGCAACACCAACCTGGCAAATCGGATGGCCTGGAAGGTATTTGTAGATGAGCCAAACTTCTGTGTAATTCTTGATGCTGCAGCCATTAACTCTTCTTTGGTTGTATACTGATTCAGGTAGAATTCAACCTGGTTATCAACACCATACTGAATGACGCTGACCTGGCACAAGAAAACAAAAAGGTGCGGAAAAAGCAAAGAAAGCTGTGAGTAAAGACAGAAGAGACCATGAGAATGTATTCAACATAACACTCTGCTCCAACTCTGTTTTATACGGAGCCCATGAAGTCCTAAAAAAAAGAAGAAAAAAGTTGTGTGTGTGTGTATATGTAGTTTAATATTCCTGTTAAAGATTATAAAAAAAGGGGTGTCACCTGTGTGTTTTGGGGTCCTATGTCCAGCGAAGGTATCAGTTTCTGGAGGAATATGTTCATAGGACCCCACGGATAAATGCTGTTGGAGCCATCCAGAACAATCACAATGTCCATAGGCCCTCCACATTCTAGAAATGCCATGACAAAAGAAACATTATAAATATGTCAAGCAAAGGTTCACGTTACTGCTGATAGCTTTCTTCAGCGTGCTGTTAGTGTTGATGTTTGTTTGTTGTACCTTCAATGCAGTCACTGGTTTCAGCTCATGCAGAATCATTTGTTTTTAGTCATTTTGCAGACCAGAAAGTTGCCTGATACAAGCACTACATCGCAATACTTTGATTTATCTTTTTTCCAAACTAACTTGACATTAAAATGTAATTATATGGCTATAGGAGGTCAAAATGCTCCAGCAACACTTTATTAACAAATTAGATCAAGAAACAGATTGCAAACATCCATTTCTTGAAGGCCACAAGCCTAAACGCGTCGGTCTAATTTGTTAATAAAGTTGATCTTCTTACTACAATTGTTGCTGCAGCATTTTGACCTCTCCTAAGCCTTTCACTCTTCATGCACCTTGTTAGTTGTTGAAGTTGTGCCAGAAAATCCTCTGCTTCTTCATGAAATGGCGATAAGCAAGACAGCTTCAGTGTATGAACTGACAGTAGCTTTTGAACAACTATGTACCAAGCGATCTGGTCTAAAAGATTAACAATAATAAACATTGGCTAGAATGATTGAAACTCGATCATAATCAAAGTAGATAGTTGAAGATATTCATAATTTCATATAAAATGAGAGCTCTTACTCTGCACAGCAGGAGAGAAGGCAGGTTGAGGCCGAAACAGGGGGCTCAGGTTTGCACATATTCCGGGGTAGAAGTCCTGATTGCCACACTGCTGTCCCCAAAGAGGACCACACATCTGCAGCACAGGACCACATGAGTCAAGAAGAGAACAGACTTCAAGGAAAGCTGTTCTTCTAATGGGTTTAAAAGCTCCTGATATGTTCTCCTATCTGATCTTTAAAGTGAAGTTGTTTTTTTTTATCAGTCTCACATTTAAGTATTTTTGCTGGTATGTAAACTGTAAGCAGTTATGTGCTGGTTGACCGCAGACCTGGTTGTCACTGACACATTATAACTTCAATATTTCTGACAGCATTTGGAAGCTTTCTTCATGTATAAAGGTAAAAAAGTTCCATCAAAGCAGCTTAATCATTAGCAGACCAAAACACAGAAACGGATGAATGACAAATATGAACTCTTTATATGAAAAGAATATACAATCTGTTAATGTCCTAGCATGAGATATCTTATTTAAATTTTATTTACCATCAAACCATTGCTGAGGGCATCCTGGTGAGAGTCAAACCCAGACTCATGTTGCCGTTGACATTTTTAACATCTGGAATACTGACAGAATCTGTGGATCAAGACAAATAATACGCTTAAATATTCATGTTCAGATGATAACTTTTTAATCTGTAATATATAAAATTAATATTGTAAACTTAAATTATGAAACAAAATGTGAATTATTTGTGGTACTACTTTTAAACTAGTAAAAGAAAAAAAAAAGCAAACTTCTCAAGACTTCCCTGATGGTTAGGGATTATGCATCCTCACATTTCTGTTCAGGCATTTAAAGTGCCCGGCCAATGTTTGGTAGGTAGGTTAAAGGGTTGACAACCAAACTTCAAACCTCACCTTGAAGATTGAGTTTGTCACAGCTGTTTCTGGAACCTGAGACCGGACACTTGTAAATATCCCCCTTCCTGTTTTGACTGTAACCACTCCATGGAGCGCTGACCAGGAGCCTGCAGAAAACAACATTATTCATTTCCTCACCACTCTCGAGAGGCATCGCTCAATGTTTTTGTGTACAGTAGATACCACGTCTACATACAGTATGGGATTGAAACTCATCCAAATTATGTAATGCCAAATATGGTTACAGAATTTCAGTACCAATAAGCTATAGATATATTTAAAGTCATTGTTAGAACAAAATCAAAGTTCATTTTTCTACTTTCATTATTGTCAATGAAACATAGGACCCACTTTGCAGCAGCAGCATTGGGGCCAATAGTAACTTAACTAAATAAATATCAATCTGTATTATCTTGCACTTTGTCTTATCCAGAGCTGCATGGGTAAATATGTTAGTAACATCAGAAACAGCAAACATGATTTATAAGTTCACACAGAATGTATGCACTTCAAAAACATTTCCCTACATCAAGGCATTCAGATGATGCTTTTTGTTATTGATAAAATGTAAGCATCAATATCAAAATCCACTTGCCACTAGTAATAGAAATGTATGTGTCCCAGAAACTGCTGTCAGGCTGAACTTAAATCACCACCCAGATTCAGGAAACTGTTATTTTCCCACTGAGTCTGAAGAGGCAGAAGACTTGGGACACATCAGTCCTTCTAAGAGGGCAAAGGACAGGAAACAGGATGCATCATTATTGCTTTCTCATGAGTATTCATATGGAATACAGTCAGAGAGAGACCTCTATCACAACTCCCCCAGTTACGCAAACAGGCCCCTCCTCCAGACAGTGAGTGGCTCTACGAGACTGTGACTCAGTGGACAACATCCAGACATCCCTGAGGAGTTCAGTTACTGTTTAACTAAATGTTACAAATAAGTGGGTGAAATGTAAGAGACTATAAACAAGACAGGATTGATTGTGTGACACAAGCAGGCTGTAGCCTGTCAGACAAAACTGAGCGTCTAGACTATTTAAGAACAAATATTTAAAACCAGGACCGACTTAAAGCTTTAATTGTGTTTTTTTTCAGTGGAGATAAACCTACATTTAAAAAATAACAACTCCCAAATGTTGGTATCAGCCTGAAAAATCCAATAAGAGTTGTACTTTTGTGCTATACGTAAAATAATTGAATTGCTGACGGTCCTATGAATGACAGAGGGTGGAAGTGTTCAAGAATAAGGCAGAGATTTGATGAGGCCACACTAAAGATTAGGGATCGGAACTGCTGGGAAACTCACAAAACGATACGACACGATACCATACCATAGAGATACTTTAGGATACGATGGGACATGATACCATACAATATGTTGAGATACAATTTAATACAAGACATCACGAGACCCACGATTACTATACTATCACGATACAGCCATTTTGCAATAATTTATATTTTGACAATGACATAATTAAACATCATGCAATCTGATTAACTGCACACAAAAAAATGACCTTATAAGGTAAGCCTTCAGTTGGCAGGGAAATCTGTTCAGAGAGATGTATGTTTTTGAATTAAAATATCGATATCTGGCACCTGTGATTCAATAATTCTATCACACTGGTTATTACAATAAAGTATCGCATTTTATTGTTATTTTTCCCTACCCTACTATTGATTGCTTATTAAAAAAAAGTGCATTTAGGGACATTGGTGCTTGTTTTACATTATATGCTAACAGTCCAAATAAAAACAACTCAAGTCATCATATAGTTGCAGAAGGGGAAAAGTCAGAGGATGAATACCTTTAAGTGCCTTCATTTTCATTAATTTGTTTGAGTGGCTGCTTGTAGGTATTTCAGTCTAGACCAAAGTGTTGGATTGAGAAGCAGACTGACAAAGCAACACTGTCAGCCATGCCATTATCAAGGCTAAGAGCAGGAGGCTGAACAACAACATTCAACAGTTTGTCAGAGAAGCTTTTTAAAGCAACGAACGTCTTTAACCTAATAGTGCCTTTAGAAAAAAAAAAAACTTGAGATTTTAATATCGCAAGTTTGAGGAAGACAACAGATTCCGCTAAACTGAGCCCAAAATAAATATTTTAGTCGTTCTGTCTGTAGAGAGACAAGACTTCATCTCATGTTGCCAGAAGCACGGTTACTGGTGACAGTTTTTAGAGTTGCTAATGTGCCACTGAAGGTACAGACACTGCTAATAACAGGGTGCATCTCTTTCCAACAACAGGCACTTCCCTTGCTAAATGGATACTTCTACTGCCACCAGGACAACTCCCCTTCAAGTGATACAGATGCACAAATCAGTTCAAATAACAGAAATATTACAGTTAGTCGACAACTTAATCTCACATGTGGTGGACTGTTGTGCTCTTTAGTCTGTTTGAAAATCAAGAGCAAAGTAGTTCCCTTTGAAGCATAAAAGACAGCGAGCTGATTGTGAAACTCAGCTTGGTTAGGCATACAGGCTTGCAGAAAGATTGATCAACTAAAGCGTACCACAGAATATGGAGAAGTCCTTATCTTTCTTTCCTTTATGGCTATTTCAAAGACGCAGCAAAGCAACATTAACTTCATAAATGATTAACTGGACACCACTTGAAAGCTATGACTCCTGGACAGCACAGGATTTTAGATTGCCCTATGAATAAAAATCAAGGCTGTCTAAGACTTGGGGAATAAAATAGAACACACCTGACAAAGGTTCTGAGGGACATTGGTGATGCTTAGCAAGAGTAGTGTGCTGGATGTTTCTTTTCAATGTGACAGTTTGATATCCTACGACCTAATTCATGAGATAGTTGGATGTGCAAATACCTCCTTAAAAACATGAAATAAGGTTATTATAGCCAGTAATAAGCATTCTGGGTAAGATGCTAACACTGCCCAATAAACCTAGTCTCCTTTCATTGATGAAAATCCAGAAGTGATGACTTAAAACCCATACCATTTGCCTTCATGGTTTGTCGCTTGTTGTATCGTGTAGCCAAACTCTTCTGTAGCTGGTCCGCTGAAAATCTTTGCACCTGCAGTGCCGACATTGAAGGACTGTGAATGCAGGAATCTGTCAGCTGATTGGAGGGAAACAAGAGATCCTATGTTGGTGACAGGTTTAAACTTAATAAGCTTTCATTAAATAGTAAAAAGTGATCATATTCACAGGTAAAGGAAGTATATATCAGAAGGATTATGCTAAAGTTTCAATAGATGGAAATTAAATTCTCACAAACTCAATTCTTAGGAATCCTTGTGGATGAAGTTAAATTGGAAAAATCATATTAAATTTACTCAGAAAAAAACTGTGAAGTCCTTGGGGATCATCAGCAAACTTCATAGTTGTATTCATTTATCTTGTATGTTAACCTTATATTACTCTATGATTTATCCGTATTTGATTTATGGTAATATTGTCTGGGCAAACACTTATCCCTCTCACCTTCTTAAACTTAAATGTTGCAGAAACATTTTGTAAGATTGGGAACTTTCTCCAAAGCAACAGAAACATCTGCCCCCCTCTTCAAAAAACTAAACATTCTTTTAGTTTATGATATCAATATACATCAGATATGTGTGTTCATCATCTTCATCTTCCTTTTTATAAAACCAAACACGGTCAGTTTTCCATCAGATACGTTGTTAACAGCTCTTCATCAACAGAGATTTTTAAAAGGAAACTGTCTTCACATTTAACCCATGAGGTCAAACTTTTGCATATATAAAATATAGTGTTCTCTCAACTCACTCATTCGCTCCATTTTTAATAGATCAATGCCTGTTTCATTTAGCTGATAGAGGGTTAACATTCTCAGTCTTTCTATTGTATGTATGTGTCTAAGTGTGTGTGTATGAATATGTGTATAGGTTACTGTATATGTGTTTATATTTAATTTTGTTTTGAAATTGTGTAATTGGATTTGTTTAGTTGATTTATTTGTCTCTTAAGAGGTGAGGTCCCTTGTATAAGCCTGTTGGCTTCTTGTGTGCTAATAAATAAATAAAATAAAATAAATAAAAACAATAACAGCACCTGAACAACATCATACCACCGTCTTCACTTTGTATAATGACCTTGTCAAAACAGTTGTACTAACAAAAAAACATTAACATAAACACAACTAAATCCACTACATCTTTGTGGATCTTGGTCTCAAAGTTCTCTGTTTTTTTTTCTAACTCTTTAGACCCTCCTGACTTCCTCCTTGAGCTTAGGTGGTTTTTGTGGCTGAATCATGAACATAAAAAAATAAACCCTCAGCTTGACTCATGCAAGCAAGGCAAAGAACTAAAAAAGAAATCTATATTGCACATGAAGAACACAGAATTAATCAAGAGCTGAGGATTGCATTTAATGACGGTGCTCATCCCGGAAAAGTATGTTTCTCCAAATACACATTTCCCCTTCAAACACAGCCCTTTAAAGCCCCTCAGGACATGGAATTCATCTGTGAGCGAGTCTTGTTGCAGTTTTAGAGCCACAAGTCAGTACAGGCAGCCCTCAGCTCTTAGTCTGCCTTCCCCTCAGCAGCAGGCAGAGGAATGTGGATGGGTGCTGGACTCAGGAGACCTTCACTAACACTGGCTTCAGCCACGCCTGTTTACCTGCAGCACAGAGTAGCACTTTGCCTTCTCTTGGGGCTCTGCTATCCCCTCAACACGTCCATGTTTCCTCTCATTTCAGAAGTGGGGAATGTGGATACAGGATGATAATTAAACGAGTGGCTGCTGCTTGAAAGCTTTGAAGGTTATAGTGCAGACCCGGAGCAACACACATGTTGCCTCCATTAGAAATCATGTGCTGTACTGTAAAACACTGAATATTTCATCCACTGGATCGATTGTTGATCATGCATTTGGTGGGAGGAGAACAAACGCTGCAGAGTGAGATCTAAAACGAAATCAAGCACTTCCAGTCGCGCGGATTCATTCAGTAAAAGCGACTGCAAAGTTAGCGTTTGCGTATCTGATACTCTTCAGATGTGCTGTTTGAGTATGAAAACATTTTAAAAATAACATCCAAAGCTGTCACGATACAAACATTACGGATTGCTTTATTCTGAAATGGTAGGCTATTAAAAACTCGCTATTTTTATTCAATGATATCTGCATCATTTTAGTGTTTAAGTAGAAAAAAATGTAATTATAATAGATTCAGTGCGCAAAAACAACTTCAGTACTTACTTATGACTATCACAGTGAAGAAGATATTCCCCCAGGAGAACTCCATCGTCCTCTTTATTCCATTTATGAGAGGTGATTACATGAAGCCGCCGCACTTGTCAAAGTTGTGGCTCCACAGCCCCTGATAGTCAGCGGTGACGCACCGGAAACACTTCCTTATATGGAGTTATGTTCTTCCCCCCTTACCTGCAGATGCAAACGTTGACTCAAGATTTGTCAAAGGTTGTGAAATGAGGCCTGTAATAAAGTCTGGCTGGGTAAATTCAGCACGGAATACAGTTTAAAATCCAGTAATGAGTTTCAAAGGACCTTAACAAGTAGCGTCAGATAGTTATCTCAGGGCTAAAGTCCACGACATTTATTGTTGTAATTGAAGATTATAGGTGGAATCTTAGAAATGTAATTTGACTTTCTTGTGGAAGAACATGTGTAAAAGAAATCAGTGTTCAAAACTAGCCTACTACGCCCATCAGCCTTAATTTAAATCCATTTGAATCCTCATTCCAGAGTGGCAACTTGAGTGGACAAACAACTCTTAAATCAGCAGATGTCACATTAAAAAGAAACATCATCAATGAACAGTAAACAATTTGAGACTTGTCCATCATCTTCAACCCTGTAATTCCTCCCCAATGATTTTTGGGACGCTCAGTTTATACAGAACAATGTTATTGCCTTTAATTACATGCTATAGGGTTCTTTTCAGGGTTCTCTTTGATTTGTAAGTGTTTTTTTTGTGATGTTATTGGTGTTTTACCGTCTTTACTTTCAAATGAAAAGTTTGGATTCATTTTAAGTTAATCTTTGCAGAGCACACTGGCAGCGGAGATACTCGATCTAAATGAGCATTTGGGTTAAATAAGGGACAAACAATTGAAAGACTATCTGAATGAGAATTAAGAATATACAGAACTTAAACTGAATGACAAACTTAAGAGAGTGCAATATGGTAGAATAAAGACCAAAGCCATTTTTTTCCTTTACTGTAAAACAATGATGTAAGACACTTAATTGGAACATAAAGGGAGCGTTAATGGGCATGATGGTCAAAGAGAATTTAATTTTAAATGTGTGGTTTCATTACAAAATACTATTTAGGAAAGAATGTCAGCTGGGGCTGGTTGCTTATTAAACCAAATGCATATCTACATCCACTGGTGTCAGATAGTTACCAGACTTAAGTAAACTCAAGATGCAGTGCTGTTAACAACAATCTTATTATAATGACTAAAGGGAAACTGCACAGATTATATGCAATACAAGAAACAGGTTAATAGTTATACTGTAGGACAAACAACCAAAGGCTGTTTTATGACATCTTCTGTGGCTCTGGAGGAAGTGTGAGAAAATAACCCTGATGACATCATTTCAGCCACAGATTTAACAAAAAGCCTGCATTGTGCCCCTAAGTAGTGGAATTTGAAAGATGTGGGTTTCTACCAGGCAGGCAGGCAGGGTCAGATAAAAGGGTTCTGATGACTAAACGACGTTGGACCATTTAGGGCACTGCTTTCTTTCAAACTTAATAAATATAAGGGACCAAAAGCCAGGATATCTGGGCATGAGTTATTACCTGTGGCCATTTTTGGATATGTAACTCAATTTACTTCTTCTTCTTCTTCTAGTCTGGATTAACCGGAACACCATGATCACACTCACGTGGCCATACTTGGAAAAAGCCCAATACAACCCCAGTCTGATCCGTCAGCCACTGTGCAGCAGCTGTACTGAAGGAGGTGAACAAAAATGACTCGAGAGCTATTCAGTGGTTGTGATAGGAGAGTTGTTAACTACTTTTCACTTACCCCCTTTAAGTGGACAACACCACGGTTTGTAATTTAGCCATTTAGTCATTGGGCATAGTGTGCTTTTGCATTCAAGGCTGCTGTTCTCCTAACAGGCAAACACTTAGGAATCACAGCCTTTTGACCTACCCTAGATTCTGACACTGACCTCTTTACAAGCCACAGTGTGTTTAACAAATGATGACAATCTGGTTTAAGAAGTTGGTGAAAAGACCAAACATTTCCCTGAATTCTTACCATACATGGTGTCTAGTATACAAATTAACTCCTCTGTATATTAAGGTGATAGAATAACCCATAACCTCCTTTTTGCCAACGGAAAGTTTTATTATAATACTGTCTCAGTGCTTCTGCTTCTTGGACCTTAATAGACTTTCAAGTAGTTCACATCAAATCTTAAATCACAGAACTGAGGCGGACAATGTAAGTTGCCAAACTTTGGGCTTTAATATAACCAACCACAAAATCCCATTAAAGGCCCTTGATCTAGAACTGCAAAGAGGGATGTGTTGGTCTGAATGAATCAGCTCTATTAAGTGAATAATGGAGCTAACTCCCTTCTAAAAGCTAAATTCTTTCTTTTTATGTAAATGAATATAGGAATAAATAACAAGATGACCCAGAGCAGTAAATGGCTAAAGATGGTTCCAGAAAAATCTCACTTTGTGAGTAAATTAAAAGCTAAACGCAGTGCAGCGAGATAATTGTTTGTTACACCGTTTCTAACGTAAAAAAAACAAACAAACATGTTTTTTTGTGTTTTTAAATCATTAGCCTTCAGTTTTCGTACCAAACGTAAATTTGGAACCTGATGTTTTGGAAACTATAACGTTTGTCTGAGTGATAAATAGGCATGTTCACAAGCCAAAGACCAAAGCATGACTTGTGTCTTGATCATGAGGGCCAGGATTGGTTCTTAATTCAAATCCGTTGGGGAGAGGAAAGAGAAGGTTCTTATTCACCATAATCACATGGCAGCCATCTTCCTCTGATGTCACGCTCAGTCGCTGTTAGATTAAAGTACCACTGTGTAAAATGTAAATATTTTTTAAAGGTTTATTTTTGTTCTTTTGACAGTGGATAGAGTCAGAAATCAGGGAGAGAGAGTAGAGAATGACATGCTGGAAAGGAGCCACTGGTCTAATAGGAACCTGGGTCGCCCGCTTGGAGGACCACAGCCTCCGTGTATGAGGCGTGCACCAGCCACTAGGCTATCAGCTCCCCCCTTACAATATATTTAAGTTATTTTGGGAACGTTCTCATTTACCCCATTTCTGATTGATGAACAGCGAAAAAGAAAACGTTGGGGGAAAGTTAAGTGTAAATACATACAATTGGACACATGCCACAGAGCAAAAACCCTCAGCTATGTGATTCACTTCAGTTGATACAAAAGGTTCAGTTGGCCTGGAAGCATCAAACTAAACCTTATTCAACAGTCGAACCCCCTCACCCACTTCTCTGTTTGTGCAGGCATGATTCCTGCATAAGTCATCTGGTCAGCCAGAGCACCTTGACAATTCAAAATGAGCTGGGTCAAGCATTTGTGAGATACTGACGCGCAACAGTTCCTGGAAAAAAGGCTTGGCTTTTTTCTCAGATAATGAAAAGACTTGCTTTAGAGAGAATAAACCTTCACCTTTTCTTCAGAAGTAGAGTGACTCACTGGTGTTAATTATCATCTTTCTTTTTAACAGGATAGAGCATTGCTTCTTTTGTATACATTCTTTTTTGCTACCAGCAGTGCTGGGAGTTTTAAGCAGCCTCCGTTCTTAAATGATGTGTAACAATCAAAGGAAGGATCTTGAAACAGCAAAGCCTGTGGTCTGTTTTCCTGTCAGGCCATGACATAGTGGAACAGTGTGGGCACGTCAGTAAAAATCCCCACTGAAAGATTGTGTATCATCTGTAGGTAGCCTGGATGTTTGGAGAGCATTGGTATTAATAGACAGGCCTTTGTTATTATTAAACGAGGGAAATTCTCACTTGCTACTCTTTTGATTTAAAAAATATATTTTAATCTTATACAGAGGTGAATTTTAAGGTTTTTAGCAGGCTCAAACTAAAGACTACACAACTCTAAGTGGAACATTTTCTGCTAGAGGAAAAGCCTGTACTAAAATATTTTTTTTTTTGTGTTGAATAAGGTTTTTTTGTGATTTCCTTCTCTGTTTTCAAAAATAGTTGATCGGCTGGGCCATGGTGTACATTTTAAAGTTACTCATGTTATTGCCAGTTTGTGAGTAGATGTAGTCCAGTAACAGATCTTACAACTACAACTTTCAGATGAGTATGCGCCCAAGACTATGCATTCCTAAGTACTTGTAACTAATTCCCAAAAACAGCTACATGTATGCTGTAAATAGAGATTGAATTCAGATGCAGAAACCTACAGGGTCCTGGGTGAGTGGACTATAGCACCGAGCTAATCCCTCTTTCACACCCATCTGCTGACCAATGAAAATCTTAGGCCCTGGTTTTCCCTGTTTTATTGTGAGCCTGACAGTCATATCCAGCAGGCTCAGAGGGGCTCACGAGTCATTGACTGCACACGGACACAGTGGTAATGTGACTTGTGGGAGAAGTTGCCCTCCTGTCACATGACGAAAGCGTCGAAAGATTTTTTTGCAAGTGCATTTGTAAAAATGCTACAAAGAAGCACATAAAGTGAAGCGTGTACATATGATGCAGTTTTTTAATGCAAGTCATGAGCTGGCACCAGTTGTTTGTAGATAAGGATATCTCATTGTGAAACGTGCTTCCAAAATAGCCTCATAGATTATGTGTGACCACATGCTGACAAAGCAGACTCAAAAATTTGCATTATTTCTGTTTTGCAAAATGATGAAAAGACCTTAAACGGAGCACACTGCAGAACCATATGCATTGCAATGACACTTTCCAGGTCCAGATAAGTAGCTCAACAGTTAGATGGCAATAAATTGGAGACAGACTTGTGGGCAAGTTGCATTCTGTTTCAACCAAAAATAGTCCTCCGTCTACAGTAGTAAGAAGCAGATGCTAACAATTTCCTTTAACTCACTGCAGCATTGCTCTCTAAAGTAAAGTGAGACAAAGCTGAAAACAAAATGATCTAACATTAAAATATGACATTACAACCACATCTCTAAAGTAACGTGAAACAGGACTGTGAAAACAACATATATAAGATTAAAGTTTGATGTTATGACCACATCAAAGTATGCTACCTATCTTCAACTGTATTTTGATTTTGACACTCAGGCAGAGAGGAGAGGGGAAACACAACAAGGGTCCTAAACAAGACTGAAACCAGGACTGATGTGGTTTTACAGCAT